AGTGGTTGACTTTATATCTTAAAATCATATCATTAAGCCTCTGTTAATTTACCAACTTTGGACAGTATGTATTGACTCTCTGCTATGCAAGACACATAAATTGAGGCATTTAATATGTTTTTATTGTTATTTTCTCTCGTCTAACCCTGAGGTTTTATTACTGTCACAATTATTTATTCTCTGTTTATAAACTTTTTAAAACATTTACCTTCTGTTCTATAAATTTAATTAAGTCTCTGTTGATTCTGAAAATTAAAAAACAGTGAGGGGCATTTGCATCATGGTTATACAAATGTTACGTACCAATTGTCAAGGCTGGTGTTCAATTCTCTATTGTGATCTAACTCCCTAGGTTACTGAGGAGGAGTGTATCTGCTTGATCCTCTCTTTAGCTAACCTATGGTTTCTCTTTGGAAGGTTTCATAATTTTTCTCTATCCTTAGAGGTCTGATATTTTACCAGGGTTTGACAGAGTATGACATTTTTTTCATTTGTTCTCTCTGGCATTTGGATTAGCCTTTCTATTTGAACTGTACTGTGTTCAGTTCAAGGAAGGCTTCTTGAATTTCTTGATTATTTCCTCCCCATCACAGTCTCTCTGTTTTTTTCCTTCTGAAACTCCCATAAGGTAGTTTTTAGACTTCTTGGATCTGTACTCCATGCTGCTCAAATTTTCTTTCCTATTTTTAATCTCTTTGTATTTTTGTTCAGTGTTCTTTATCTCTGCCACCACCCAGCTTAGATTTTAGCCATGTCTGGTTTATTGGTTAGCACATTCATTGACCTGAAATTTTTCAATAATTGTTTTTGCTTCCAAGAACTCTTCCTGTTATCTGATTACTTCTTTTCCATGACAGCCGCTTTTTGTTTTATGGCTTTACTATCCTTCCATATCTCTCTGAAGATAAATCTCTGTTGCCTGATTAGCCTTGTTGCCCTAGTATCTCTTCTGTTTGTTTATTTGAGACTTTACTTATTAACTCTTGCCGCTTGACAGTTTACTCCCCAGTGCTTAAAACAATAAACAACTTATTGTCCCCCGCATTGTCTGTGGCTTGGGAATCTAGGTATGGTTTTGCTGGATGCCTCTGCCCTGAGGATGCAAGGCAGCAATCCTGGTGTCAGCCAGGTCTGCTGTCACACCTGCAGGTTCAAAAGGTACTCACTCACGTGATTGTTGGCTGGATTCACTTCCTTACCAGTTGTTGGACTGAAGCCTCAGTTTCTCATCAGCTGTTGGCTGAGGCCTCTTTCAGTTCCTGTCTGTGTGGGCCCCTCCATGTAGCAGCTCACAACATGGCAGTGGCCAGCACAAACTGGCAAGATAAGAGAAGGCCAATAATAGGATGGAATACAGAGTCTCCTTGTACATTGATCTTGGAAGTGCCATCCCGTCACTTTTGCTGTGATCTGTTCCATCACTAGGGGTCATCTTACGTGACGCCTACTACTTTTCTTAGGGATTAATTTTCTCAAGTGTCTAGTGATCTTTGTTTCTAAATCAAGGATCTTGAGGGTAGCTGGCCTGGGCTTAACACTGTGACTGTGAACAAGGGTCTGTCTGTGCCTTTTGTGCTTATGCAAGCTTCCTTTTCAGGTATGTGGGCAGACGGCAGCAAGGTTGGCTGGGATTCTCCCTTGTCAGGTTCCATCCACTTTAGCATGCTTGGGCGGAACCTGTGACTTGCTACCAGCAGCTACTGCTGCTAAGTCACTTCAGTCGTGTCTGACTCTGTGCGACCCCATAGACGGCAGCCCACCAGGCTCCCCCGTCCCTGGGATTCTCCAGGCAAGAACACTAGAGTGAGTTGCCATTTCCTTCTCCAACGCATGAGAGTGAAAAGTGAAAGTGAAGTCACTCAGTTGTGTCCGACTCTTAGCGACCCCATGGACTGTAGCCTACCAGGCTCCTCCTTCCATGGGATTTTCCAGGCAAGAGTACTGGAGTGGGGTGCCATTGCCTTCTCCAGCTACTAGCAGCTAGTATATAGCAAACATGAGTGAATAGTGGCTTCTAGATTACCTTCTATGGCAAAGGAAAAGGGATTTTGCAGATGTAATTAAGGTCCTAAATCAGTTGATTTTGAGTTAATTAAAAATGAGCTTTTCCTGGTTGGGCCTGACTTAATCAAGTGAGATGAGGGTGGAAGTCCCCCCCACCGCCCCCCGCCGCCCCGAGGTCAGAGATGCTTTCCTGCTGGCCATGAAGAAGCAAGCTGCCTGAGTTCTGTAGCTGCAAGAAAATCCCTTTTTCCAATAGCCTGAGTGAACATGAGTGTGGGTTCTTTCTCATTCACGCCTCTAGAACAGAATGCACCTGGGCTGACACCTTGAAAGCAACCTTGGGAGACTCTGAGTTGAGGATCCGGCTAAACTGACCCACAGAATCTATGAGATAATATGTATGTGCTGTTTAAACCACTGTATTTGTGGTAATTTGTTACCCAGTGGGAAATTCATACAGTGTATTTGACTCCTAGTCCCTCATCAGTGCCTTTCCCTTTTGGTCTCTGTCTTGTGTGTGCAGTGGATGTGATGTAAAGCCAAACCCTGCTTCCTGAGTCTAATCCCCTCATGAGGAGCTTTCTTCGGGAAGGTGGCCCGCTTTCTACAGAGAGCAGGTCTTCGGCTGACTTGAGGGCATGTCATTCTTGCCCATTGGACCTTTTCTTTCTTTATCTTGTAAAATGGGAAGAGGAGGAAGCTAACTTCCAGATGTTCTGAAGGCTCTTGTTTAATGAAAGGCCCTGATGATCCTTGGCGCCTCCTGTCCTTTGTGTCTGTTGATTCTGGACTTGGAGCTTCTCTGGCCGCTCTTGGTGGGAACCATGCCTGTGAAAGGGGTCTGCAAGTGCGGTTTCCTTGCTCTGGTCTCCCCACCACTCTGATTCTTCTTGGTTTTTCTCTTCATGGAATTTCATAAAACTTCTGGTCTGTTGATGACATGTTTTCCTGTTTTATAATGCTGTTATGGTTTCCTTCTTTAAACAAAAACCAGTTTGCCTAGCATTTCAGCAGGACCTTGGAAATGAAGCTGTATCAATGATGAGTCTGCATGAATTCAGCTCTACATATTGGTCTGGACTTTTTATAGAAGAAAATAAATACTCTTTTGCTACCTAACACTGATCTAACATGTTTGTAATAAATTTGGCATATTTCTAATAAAACTGGTGAGAAAGGTTAGAGTTTTTATTATAATAAGTAATTTTCTCATGTTCTATTATTACTTTCCCCTTTAGTACCCTAAAGCATATTTCTTTGAGGACCGTGCCTTTTTTTCTCCTTTCCCCCCTCTTCCTGTTTACACTTACACAACCTTTCTTCCTTCTCTTAGGGTAATTTCTTAGGACAAGTGACTTAAAATATTGCTGACACTATGCTTTTTTTTTCCTAACACTAATGGCACACATGATGTAAGTGCTGAGACTGTTGAGATAACTGAACTAAAATTGTGATTTTTAGAATTGTCTTAAGACTCTTTTAGTTCCAAGTAAAAAAGTCTATTTCAAACTAGTGCGGGTTAGAAAGAAAACTTATTACGTGGAAACTGCAATAGGATCTCACCAAACCCAAGGATAAAATTATATTCAGATATCATGAGGGTCTGGGACCAGAAAATAAATACCCAAAGATAATTACAGGAAGTTTTTACCTTTCTGTCTCAGACTTTTTCTTTCTTGTCTCTGTTTTTCTGAACATCTGCTTATTCTTTTTCATCTTTGTTTTGGCATGGGTGTGGCCAAATGTGGCTGATCAATAACAGTAATCTGAGTTTCCAAGTTTATATCATCTCAGTTCAAGCAAATAAGTCAGAGGCACAGTCCCAGATTCCAAAGAGAAATAATCGGCTTGGTTTAGCCTGGCCCAGTTATCTCTTTTTAGACCAGTGCAGTGTGGTCATGAGGGCAGATTTTGTGGTATAGACAGGACTGCCACAGCCTGGGTTCTCAAAGAGGAGGTGGGGGGGTAGAAGCTATATCAAGGGGGCAGATATCTCAAAACTTATGTTATGATATTCTTGTTTATATCCAGTGTGCTGTTTCTCATTAGAGAGACAGTTTATCTTGTGGTTAAGAACATGAGCTTGGGGTCAGATAGACCTTGATTTGAATCCCAGCCCTGCCACCTATTAGCTGTGAGGATCAGATTCTTTCTCTGTACAACTGGAGTGATAAAGTCTGTCTCTTGGGGTTGCCGGGAGGAAGAGAATATATGTGACACATCCTACATGCTCAGTAAGTAGCTGTTATTTATTACTGTTATGACATCATATGGAAAAGATTATGGGAATGGACAAACAAACATTTTACCACCTTAAATAGCACAAGAAGCTCTGGAAGCAAAAATCTGGGTGCCACAAAGATCAATAAAAAAATCTAAGAGAGAATGTCCTGCTTTTCACACTTGGCCAATGTAGTGGAAACAAGTTAGACTGATGAGGTCAGGGCCCAAGAATCTACACTTGTTTTTAGAATAAAGTTTTTGCCTCTATTGGTTTTGGAAAGTGTGGATTCAGAGGTCACGTAATCCTGAAGAGAGCCAGGCTGGTGGTACAGTCATCATTGTCTCTCCAGCCAGGCCCTCTTCTGATGGATCCTGCATTCGTTCTGCTTGGTAGTTGGTCTGTTCTGATTGGCTAGTGCCTTACCCCATGAAATACTTTAAATATGTGCCATCAGTTCAAAGACTTCAGTTTTTATTAAAGAAGTTCCACTATTTTCTTAATAAAATAATAGATTTGCTTTGCATCTTTCTCATTTATATGACAAAGTTGTGAGTTGCTGCCTTCGTAAAATAAATTCTTCTAAAGGTTATGTAAAAAGGTGATGATTCAAAGTCTATATAGTTAAAGGATACCAAATGTAAGCCAAACATTGATGTTTACGTAGAGTTAGTTAAGCTGTATGGCTTCTTTTTAAATAAACACAGAGTATGCTGTTCTATATGAAACTGTAGTAGAATAATATCTCAATGACTAACCGTAATTTTCTCTTAAGTTATGCAGACATTTTGATTGAGAGGGAAGTATTAATGCAGAAGTACATTCATCTAGTTCAGATCGTAGAGACAGAAAAAATTGCAGCTAACCAACTCCGGCATCAACTTGAAGATCAAGATACAGAAATCGAAAGGCTTAAATCAGAGGTATTTCCTAGTTGATAGACTCCTTCTCATTGTTTCATGTTTATTGTCATCTCCTCATGGTTACTTAGCGCCTATAGGGGCAAAATTTTGATCCCAAACTTAGTTCCTCTGCCATCACAGGTACATGAGAAATGAATTTATTTTCTAAGTTCAGTTCAGTTCCATTCAGTCGCTCAGTCGTGTCTGACTCTTTGTGACCCCATGAATCGCAGCACTCCAGGCCTCCCTGTCCATCACCAACTCCCGGAGCTTACTCAAGCTCATGTCCTTTGAGTCAGTGATGCAGGAATAGGTAAATATGTATAATAAAATATCAGGATAATGTGCTAGCTTTACATTATCTGTGCTCCTGATGTCCTTCATTTGCTCAAATATTCAAGAATTGACTATAGTATTTATCTGTTTTCAGATGGATTCATAGTAATGATTATTGTGAACCTGTCATAGATTCAGTGTAAAAGTCTGAATGACAGCTAAAGGAGGTCCAAACATGAAGTCAGGAAGTCTTTGCATTTTTTCTCAGTCTAAAGAGTCCAACCTTCTCCTCTGTAGAATTTTGAAAAACTCATTTGGGTTAAAGTATGTGACATATGCTAGGGTGCATTTTTTTCCTGGACTTGGAATTCCTGCCTCCCTCCCTGCCCCATCCTGACTGCGAACTCCTCAGGCTCTGCACCCCCAGGGAGTGAGATTGACTCAGCTGGCTGTGGAGACCGCAGCTGTTGCAGTGTCTGTGGGTCCTCCTTTCTCCCCAAGGTGCCTCCGTCTGTATACAGAAACCTGAGTGCACCTTCCCTTGTTGTCCTGTCACCTCTTGTGGGAAGTGACCAATACCTGAAGAATTGCAGAGGAATGTAGAAAGCAAAGTTTTTCTACTCTTTCTGACCAGTGGAGCATTAGTGACCTCTTAGCTTCAAAGCAAAGAATCGGACAGAATGAAACCTACTGCTGATTGTAACTTTGTTGATAGAAACAAACCACAGGCTCCTCAAGCTGGGTAATTTCTTGTTTCTCTGTCATTCAACATTTTCATCTTCATTTCCTCACATCTTCTTTTGAGACTTACTCTGCAAATTCTGAGAGGGTTTTCACCTCCTGCTGCCCGTGTACCTCACCTCCAGCAGACAGAGCAGGGTTTAAGCTGATATTCACATTGGGATCTGATTGCCTCTCTGAGGATGAAAAGTTGCAGACTCTTCACCATATCATTAGCGTTGTTAACTTCCCGATCCAACCCTGAAATCTGAGATAGTGAAAACAACAACAGAAAACATAACAAACCTGCATTTTAAAAGACTATATCAGGCACTGTAATTTAAAACAAAATTATTGTGTTCTGTCCTCGCCACAGTTAGCTAGAGCAGATGCTTGTCTGCTAAGTGAAAGAGGTTGGCATTTACTCCATGAGAGAAACTCAGCACCAAGCAGTGTTCCCCAATATTTATTTGTGTGTGCTTATCTGCCTTCACTATGTTCTTTTTTAGTCTGAATATATATTGCAGCTACAAACTGTCAGTAGCAGGTCTGTCTTGTGTGGTCGCTTGACAGGAGCCATAATTTATTTCCTACTCCTTTTATTTGCCCACTTCCCTGCCAGAAAAATGGCAGAGGAGAGTGTTTGGTAATGGGGACAAAAATGTAAAGACAGGTTGGATTGGGCAATTATGATCTCAGCGTTTTAAGTGTTTGCTTGTTGGTAAATCTGAATCAGTTCTTAAGTTTGCAGGAGCCTGCAGTTGAGTGATAGAGATTCTCTGTCCAAGGAATTTCATTGCTAAGTGTGGTTCTGAGGCTCCCTGGTTTTGAGTCACAAAAATGAGCTGAGGCTATAAAGAGATCCCAAGTGGTTTCAGCTCCTTTTGCCTTTTTGTGTTTTCTTGCCTGGCGCGGCCGAGCCCCTGGGCTCTAGAGTTCCCCTTGCAGTTACCGTTTTCCTGAGGAGACCTGTGAGCCTCCTGGACTGTGTGTGCAGGCTGGTTACAGAAAGCACGAGCTTGGAGCTGAGTGTCACTGCATTTGGAGATCAGAGGGCATTATAGGAAGCTGCCATTGATGAGATGCCTGACATAACCACTGAGATGCTGGGAAGGCCTTGGTCTGGTCATCACGGGCAGTCAGGACTCACATTTCTATAACCCAGACCCCAGTTCACACTCTCCACAGTCACTTCTTATTTGTCAGCATAATAAGGCAAGTTTGGGGTAAAGTTCAGGCTTCCCCTGCCTTAGCATCAAATGAAGATAGTGTGCCTGAAAAGCGAATGTTTCCTGAGGATCTTATAAGTTACCTTGTAAGCATAACTTCCTGTGATATATGGCTTTAGCCTAGTGTTTCCCAAATCATGAAATGGACCAATTTTGTGTTACAGATTATCGCTCTTAATAAAACAAAGGAACGAATGAGACCTTACCAAAGCAATCAAGAAGATGAGGATCCAGACATCAAGAAGATAAAAAAGGTAGGGTTTCCAGCTTTGGGCGAGTGTGGTGGGGACCAGTTGTCTTTCTGTAGTGGTGTATTTGCCACCCTGACTCTGAGTTAAGAACAATCTAGGTGTTTCTCTCCCACTGGCTTCCTGACTTCTGCTTCAGAATTATCACACGTGGTTACTTCTCTGGAAAAGCTTTGGCTTGAGATTTCTTCCCAGTTCTGGGAATCCTTTGGTGGATTCTGTGAGAAGGATGCCAAAGGTAGACATTAAGACAGTGGTATTCTCCATTTGGGTTATTTAAGTGCTGCTGAACTTTCTGGTGTTTGTGCTACTTTTATATTTTAAGGGAGTGTTTTTTAAATTACACTTCAGAAATGTTTCTTTTAGCTTTAGTCTCCAGTGTTTATTTAGAGAAGTTTATTTTTTTGAGCATGTGAGAAAACAGTGAATCAATACATCTGCTCAGGTTTCTGTCTTATTGTTGTTTCTTTCTTGTTTAACATCCACACAATCAGCAACTCCTTCCATCTTTTACAACTGTACAACTTCTGCAATTAACTAGACCCTGGCACTCTCTAGTCTGCTGTGTTTGATTTAAGGCATCTCGGTTTTGAGTTCCACAATCTTAGCTGTCCTGTGTAAAAGCACTGATTTAGCTGTGTTAATATTATGTTAAAAGGTGCACAGTTACAGAATTTTATTTCTTCTTCATTTTTTTCTTATTCCTCTTTTCCTATGCTAGGTAATTATTCCCCTTCAGTTGCAATAAAACTTTAGATATTGCTCTGAATTTGAAATAGAAAAGCTCCTCAGGACTAAGTTGCACTGTTTTCAGTTTTCAAGAAATAACAAAGCAAAATAATAACATTTCTCTCTTAGAATTTGAAAATCTTTAAATTAAATTTGGTTTATGTTATTGTTATAAGATGAATGCTGTTGCCATTCTTTTAATAACATGCGGCTCCATATAAACAAAGGTATCAGTAGAATACAATTGTAGTACTGTCCTGTTGTAGAAAATGTTAACAAGTAAACAAGCTAGCTTTTGCATGGAAGGCAATATTGCTCAAGTAAATAGATTTTGTTTGTGTTAATCACTCAAGTCATGCCTGACTCTTTGCAATCCCATGGACTGTAGCTAGCTCACCAGTCTCCTTTGTCTGTGGAATTCTCCAGGCAAGAATACTGGAGTGGGTTGCCATTTCCTTCTCTAGAGGATCTTTCTGACTCGGGGATCAAACCCAGATCTCCTGCATTGCAGGCAGATTCTTTTAACACAAATTCAGTTGATTTTTGAAAATACTTCTGTTAAATGGAGGAATAATGATAAAATACATTTTATAGCTTCTGTCTTCCTCTTTCATAATAGATATAATTTTTTAAAAACCTTACTTTTAAATTTGTTAACAGGTTTTGAATTTAACTCTGTTGCCCTTTATGTCCCCAGTCAGACTAACGTCTCTGTGGAAAGGGATGTTTACAAATGAATTGTGCATGTGTGAGTTAGTTGCTCAATTGTGTCCAACTCTTTATCCATGGACTGTAGCCTACCAGGCTTCTCTGTCCATGGGATTTTCCAGGCAAGAGTACTGGAGTGGGTTGCCATTTCCTTCTCCAGGGATCGAACCTGGGTCTCCTGCACTGTAGGCAGAGGCTTTACAGTCGAAGCCACCAGGGAAACCCACAAATCAATTAGGTACCCTATGCTGATCTTTACAAATAGCAACATAATTTTTTACCTTCAGGAGACCAAAAATTGAAATTGGTTCACAGAAATTTCCCACATAATTTTTTCCACATAATTCTACTAAAATGTGTTTTTAATTTTTATTGCTTGAGGTATGACAACTGTGTGAATGCCTATTATGAAAATTGATAGTGTGCTGACATCAGTTGGTAAATGAGACAGTTTTAAATATTGAAAAAGAAGAATAGTTGTTTAAATGCGTGATAATTGAGACCATATGGGTGAAATAGTATGAAAAAAAAGGATAAGAATGTGTTAAGAAGAAAGCAATGATACTAAAAAAATATTTGATAGTAATTTATTGCTTTCAATTATATATGACTTTGCAACCTGCTTTGTTGGTTAATCTGCTTAGATGTAACAAATACTAATAAATTATTATATAATTTTTCTTATATTTAGAAAGGACTTCAGATTTTTGGGTCAGTTATTTTGTAGATAAGGAAATGGAGCCCAGAGTTCAAAGTCACCCAGTAGTTTATATGGCAGAGCCTTTGGGTTATGGAATATGACATATACCTCTCTGTTTAGCACTCAGCATTTAACTGGGCATTTAAAAGATGTTCAGTAAATATTTGTTGGCTGAAATGCAAAGGCTAGCACACTTTGTCCAATTGGCCTGTTACTTTTCAAATCATATCTTGGGGATTCAGATCAGTTTTAGGGGCTTCCATCTTCCTACAACATTGATTTTAATTTTTATTTCTTATTTTTTTCCCCTACAAGATAACACCATTGTGAATTTTTAGTGTGTTTTTGCCCACGTAGCTGAGAAAGAGTCCTTATAGTTAACAAAAAGCAGGTAAAAGAAGGGCAAGCCTGGTTGCAGCTTTCCTGTGTGACTTAACCAAGAAATTTAGTTTACTCGTCTGTAAAAAGAAGGGGTGAGATGAGCTGATGTCTAACACTTTTTTTTAAGCTTAAAAAAAAACTCAAATAGCCATAACAAAAAAATCAAACCCAATTTAAAAACAGGCAAAGGACTTGAGTAGACATTTCTCCAAAGATGATACACAGTTCTCTCAAAGATGATTCTTTAGAGAAATCACTAACACTTGAAAAGATGATCAACACCACTAAGCGTCAGGGAAGTACAAATCAAAACTACAGTGTAATATTATCTTACACCCATTAGGATGACTACTATAAAAAAACCCAAATAACAAGTACTGATGATGATATGAAGAAATTGGAACCCTTGTGCTCTGTTGGTGAGATTGTAAAATGGCTCAACTGCTATGGAAGACAGTATGGTGGTTCCTCAAAAATTTTAAAATAGAACTACCAGCAATCCTACTTCTGAATGTTTGTCCAGAATAATTGAAAGCAGGATTTTGAAGAGATACTTGCACTCCTATATCCATTGCAGCATTATATACAATAGCCAAGAGGTGAAAGCACCCCAAATGTTCATCAACAGAAAACTGGATAAACAAAATGTTATATATCTATATATACATACATATACAAAATGGAATATTATTCAACCTTAAAAAGAAAGGAAATCCTGACACATGCTACAACATGAATGAACCTTGAGGCCATTATACTAAGTGAAATAAACCTGTTACAAAAAGACAGATACTGAATGATGCCACTTATGTAAGTTATCCAAAGTAGTTAAATTCATAAAAACAGGAAGTAGAATGGGGATTACAAGGGGCTGAGGGAAGGGGGAAATGGAGAGTTGTTTAACAATTATTGAGTTTGAGTTTCACAAGATGAAAATGTTCTAGAGATCTGTATTTGCAACAGTGTGATTATACTTAACACTACTGAACCATACACTTAGAAATGGTTAAGACAGTAAGTTTTATGTTATGCGTGTTTGTTTGGTTTTTTTCCTGCTATCTGGTCCAAACCTGACATTATTTATTCTGTGGTGGGCCCACCAGTGCTCCAGTGAAAGAGCACAATATATACGGCACAGGATGGACACCCTACTGACCAGCTTAAGAAGCCTGCCTCACCCCTCCCTGAGATTCACTTCTATTTTGTTGCTGCTGTTCTGTAGGTTCAGAGCTTCATGCGAGGATGGTTATGTAGAAGGAAATGGAAGACCATCGTGCAGGATTACATTTGTTCTCCTCATGCCGAAAGCATGAGGAAGAGAAACCAGATTGTGTTCACCATGGTCGAGGCCGAGTCGGAGTACGTTCACCAGCTCTACATCCTCGTCAACGGTTTCCTGCGGCCCCTGCGCATGGCGGCCAGCTCCAAGAAGCCCCCCATCAGCCACGACGACGTCAGCAGTATTTTTCTCAACAGGTTTGTCTTGGCATGAGTAAGGGTTCGTATGAAAAACCTATCTGTAGTTTTTAAAGGAAGTTTTACTTTACTCTTAAAAGAAGAGGTATCATAAATTCACCTGTATGAGCTTATGGTATTGAAAATAAGAAAGCTATCATTGGTGTTTCATTAGTAGCCCACGTTTTCATATCTTTATCTTGTATGTTGGCATCTAGTTTTCTCTCTCTCTCTCTCTTTTTTTTTCTATTTGACATGGCTTTACCTACTGTTACCCCTCTGACATCTTGTCATTGTGTGTGTGGTGGGGAAGATTATCTCCTTCATAACCTGAGGGAAATGGGAGTGATTAATGGGTCTTCACATGTAACATACACAGAAGTACTTTAGGAAGAACAAAAATTAACAGAGGGCCCGAGGATCTCTAGTAAATTTATTTGCTCAATAAATATTTATGGTGCATTTACTGCTGAGGATTCACCAGTGAACAAAGCAGAAGGTCCCTACCTTCATAGAACTTAAATTCTGATGTGGGAATATAGACAATGAATAGTGAATAAGTGAAAGATGCAGTATTTTATATTGTGATTAGTACTGTGGAACATATAAAGAAGGAAAGGGGAGAAGGGAGAACGGGGACTGCTAGGGTATTTTGCTTAACATTTTAGTTATTTATTTGTTTTTGAGTGCTGCTTGGGCTTCTAGGTGGTTCTAGTTGTAAAGAACCCACCTGCCAATGCAGGAGACATAAGAGACCTGGGTTCAATCCCTGTGTCGGAAAGATTCCCTGGAGGAAGGCATGGCAGCCCACTCCAGTCTTCTATTTTACTTAACATTTTTGTTATTTATTTGTTTCTTAAGTAGATAAAAACATGCATTTAACCATGCATTTACATGGTTAAAAAAATTAAAACAACATGAGAACATCAAACAGCTTTGAATTCTGTCTCTCCCCACCCCATTTTCCTCACTTGCTATCTGTAAGTGTTTTCATTAGTTTTCTTTCTTTTTTTTTTTCCATTTATTTTTATTAATTGGATGCTAATTACTTTACAACATTGCAGTGGTTTTTGTCATACATTGAAATGAATTAGCCATGGATTTACATGTATTCCCCATCCCGGTCCCCCCTCCCACCTCCCTCTCCACCCGATCCCTCTGGGTCTTCCCAGTGCACCAGGCCCGAGCACTTGTCTCATGCATCCAGCCTTGGCTGGTCATCTGTTTCACCCTAGATAATATACATGTTTCGATGCTGTTCTCTTGAAACATGCCACCCTCGCCTTCTCCCAGAGTCCACAAGTCTTTTCTATACATCTGAGTCTCTTTTTCTGTTTTGCATATAGGGTTATCATTACCATCTTTCTAAATTCCATATATATGTGTTAGTATACTGAAATGGTGTTTATCTTTCTGGCTTACTTCTCTCTGTATAATGGGCTCCAGTTTCATCCATCTCATTAGAACTGATTCAAATGAATTCTTTTTAATGGCTGAGTAATATTCCATGGTGTATATGTACCACAGCTTCCTCATCCATTCGTCTGCTGATGGGCATCTAGGTTGCTTCCATGTCCTGGCTATTATAAACAGTGCTGCGATGAACATTGGGGTGCACGTGTCTCTTTCAGATCTGGTTTCCTCAGTGTGTATGCCCAGAAGTGGGATTGCTGGGTCATATGGCAGTTCTATTTCCAGCTTTTTAAGAAATCTCCACACTCTTCTCCATAGTGGCTGTACTAATTTGCATTCCCACCAACAGTGTAAGAGGGTTCCCTTTTCTCCACACCCTCTCCAGCATTTACTGCTTGTAGACTTTTGGATAGCAGCCATCCTGACTGGCGTGTAATGGTACCTCATTGTGGTTTTGATTTGCATTTCTCTGATAATGAGTGATGTTGAGCATCTTTTCATGTGTTTGTTAGCCATCTGTATGTCTTCTTTGGAGAAATGTCTGTTTAGTTCTTTGGCCCATTTTTTAATTGGGGAACCCTTTACACTGTTGGTGGGAATGCAAACTAGTACAGCCACTATGGAGAACAGTGTGGAGATTTCTTAAAAAGCTGGAAATAGAGCTGCCATATGACCCAGCAATCCCACTTCTGGGCATACACACTGAGGAAACCAGATCTGAAAGAGACACGTGCACCCCAATGTTCATCGCAGCACTGTTTATAATAGCCAGGACATGGAAGCAACCTAGATGCCCATCAGCAGACGAATGGATGAGGAAGCTGTGGTACATATACACCATGGAATATTACTCAGCCATTAAAAAGAATTCATTTGAATCAGTTCTAATGAGATGGATGAAACTGGAGCCCATTATACAGAGCGAAGTAAGCCAGAAAGATAAACACCATTTCAGTATACTAACACATATATATGGAATTTAGAAAGATGGTAATGATAACCCTATATGCAAAACAGAAAAAGAGACTCAGATGTATAGAAAAGACTTGTGGACTCTGGGAGAAGGCGAGGGTGGCATGTTTCAAGAGAACAGCATCGAAACATGTATATTATCTAGGGTGAAACAGATGACCAGCCCAGGCTGGATGCATGAGACAAGTGCTCGGGCCTGGTGCACTGGGAAGACCCAGAGGGATCGGGTGGAGAGGGAGGTGGGAGGGGGGACCGGGATGGGGAATACATGTAAATCCATGGCTGATTCATGTCAATGTATGACAAAAACCACTACAATATTGTAAAGTAATTAGCCTCCAACTAATAAAAATAAATGAAAAAATAAAATAAAGTTATTCGTCTGAGTGTGATTACCAAGGGAGTGAGTACAAATGAATGACAGAGGAGGACCAAGGCCTGAGCCCTGGGGTATTTCATCACTGAGAGGTGGGAGTGTGAAGAGCCACAGCAGGGAGGGGAGGAAGGATGAACTGGAAGACTAGGGTTGACGTGTGTACGCTGCCACGCGCAGAGGAGAAATGACCTAAATGGATGGGATTGGGGTAGTGGGATGGACGTTCAAGACGAAGGGCATATATGTATTCATGTAGCTGATTCACTTGGGTGCAGCAGAAATTAACACCACATTGTAAAGCAGCTGTACCCCTTCAAAAAATTACAATGAAGAGGATCAGCTAGGGTTGTAGGAGATGGGAGATGGGTTGTCCTGGAAGCCAGTGCAGGCAGGAATGAACAACTATGTCAAAAGGCCAAATAAAACAATAACTGAGAGCTGACTGTGGGTTTAACGACTTGGAGCTTATTGGCAATTTTGATGAGGGACCAAAACCTGATTTGGTGAGAAGGGGAATTGGGATTGGAAAGAGTTGGTGTAGAAAACTCTTTCAAGGAGGGTTACTATAAAGAGGATCAGAGAAACAGTGGTACCTGGAGGTAAATAAAGAAATATAAAGCTGTGTGTGTGTTTGTGCATGTGTTTGGATGGGATAAAAGTGACACCAACAGTGACAGGCGGGTTGGGGGGGGAAGGGATATTGGAAAGAGATGGAAGCATTGTTGGAGCAGGGTACTTGCACAGGCAGAATTGGATAGAATATGGTGAGCAAGTCAAGAGCATGACTTTAAGTGGGAGCATGGATGGGGAGGGAATAATACCTGGACACATAATGTGGTTAGGAATCAAGGACAGCAACTGACAGTGTTGATGGGAGGGAAGTGCTGGAGTCAGGGAAGAGAGGAAAAGGTGTGAAATGATAATCAAGGAGAACAGGGTAGTGAATGGATGAGGGACATGTAATATAACTACTAGCATATTAGGCTTGTGGTTATGACTTTACAGTGAGACTAGTCAGGATGGTTTTATGTTGTTCTTAACCACCTTCAGCTGCATAGGTGCAGGTGTAGAGTGGGCAAAGGGTTGAGTTTAACTAGTATTGGTGCGTATGAGGCTAATATGATGAAGTGAAAAAGAAGGGAGTTGAAGGTGTGTGCAAGGAAGGGGTTATAACACTGAACCATGAGATTCTAAACTATGGAGAAAGGGAAGTGATGTTGTGAGGGGATTTTGGTCAGTCATAAGGCAGCAGGATCAATGGACTCAAGTCCTGATGGTGGGAAGGGATTTGGGGAGTTAGGTTTCTAAAGATAATGAACTCAAAGGTAAGGAGTTGGTCACAGAGCAGTGCCCCTGAAACTGAGATAAGGGAGGGGATGCGGTTATGAACAACGAGACGGTCTAGAGGAAGATTAAAAAAGTGTTGTCTGAGGTCAGTGGAAGACAAGACCTTTGGAGAAAGAAATTCAAAGACCTGAGAGAGGCCAGGCCGTTGGAATATTGTTTGTGTGCATATTGGAGTCACCAAGAATTGTTTCACCTGTTTTCTAACTATTTAAATACCAAAATATGAAGGTAGATATGCCAGTTAGTTTTCAGTGTAGGAAAGAGGAACCTCCTCTGTGATTGGAGGGAATTCACTGCTTATAGGATCCTTTGGAAGGGCTGCAGCACAAGTCAGACAGCAGGCCTGGACCACTGAATTCAAGGGCACAGCACCACAAATATAACCCAGAGGTTAGAAAACTACTGCTTCCACCATTGCCATCACATCTGCCTCTCAGCTGTCAAACTGGTGCCTAGAAACTAGACCACTGAGGCTAGGCACTGAAATTGCCCCCAAAACACATGTGCATGACTGACTTTCAGTAACAGGAAGATGGCCTCTGCTTGTGCCTTTCATATCTTACCATGTGCATCTATGGGTGGGACTGAATTTACATCTAGAACCCTCTCTGCAAGGGACTCTGGAAAATGTACTTTTAGCTCTCCATCCTCTCTACCTAGAAGGATGATGGAATGGAGATTGAAGGACTAATCTACAATACCTACCAAAGTAGATTTGCTTGAAATCCTAAAACAACAAACACTGCTTAGTTAACATTTCTATGAAAGAAAACAAATCACAGTCTACAAGGAGCATCTATCGTGTTTCATGGGCCATTCATAGTTAGTAAGGATTTCCCGTTGATGTTTCTTGTTGTGGAATTTGACTTATAACAAACCCAAGTATGTCACTGACATGAATAATCCTGTTTTTGGTTTTGTCAATGTGTTAGTTCAGAAAAACCTTCAAAGGCTTGTTCCAGTAGGTTAATTCTAGTGAGGAGAAGGCAAATGTTACTTTGATAACTCCCCTTCTTGAACCTTCTAGAAATTTGGATCTCTAATTGATGCAGTCTTCATTTTATATGTTTATGTAGGCTACAGCTTTTCCAGAAGTTTCCTTTACCTTTCTGGCATGAGGGTTTTAGGAGTGGTTATGGTAGAGGTCTGTCAAATCTCTTCCCCTCTTTCCTTCTGTCAAAACTCATTTTAGTGTGAGAGAGAAACTTTGGCTGAGTTATCATCTAGAATTAAATCTGAAGAGAAGGATCTTAACTAATTTTCTGATTATCAGTTGAAGGGCTACATCCTAACAGTAGAAAGCTGTTTTTATCAGTATTATAAGTTGATAAAGAGGGTTATATGACAGTGGTTTGGTGCTTACTGTCTTCCAGTATTTGAGGCTTAGCTCAGAATTTTTGTTGAGGTTTTAGGGTTGTTGAAAGATAAGCTGCTTTCTGGGGGCTGATATAATCCATGTTTTTATTGGTTGTATGGTTCAGAGGCCCTGAGAGGTACGTATATCATGTACTTAAGGCTTTAAGGACTCAGTGAACTTCTTGAACAAAATAGACACTTTCTAGTGATTAAATTATATTATTTTTCCCATTTTTTTATAGTGAAACAATCATGTTTCTTCACGAAATATTTCATCAAGGACTGAAGGCAAGAATAGCCAACTGGCCTACTTTAATTTTAGGTAAGTGCATGCTTTAGAGAGAGAACATTATCTCTTAATCTGGCTGCAATAAAGAGTAAAATAATTTCAGCGTTATTCATCCTAAGTTGTTTGAACTTCCCTGATGACCTGGGAGCTTCTGTGGGCACGGGGACGCTGCCCTTTTGACCCTTTCCCCTGGCCCGTCGAGGTTCTTGGGGGACTAGAGTTGGGCTCTGCCTCGGGGTGCATCCTCCCGGGTCAGTCATTCTGGCCTCTGCGCTGGGCCGTGCAGCCTGACCCCTGGTGCTGGGGGCCGCTCTCTGCCATTCCCGCAGAGTGAACAGTCTCCCCCTGCCCCGTGGATAATTCACTGAGTGCCGAGAGAGACGGCCATGTTTGCTTCTTCTTTCCAGCTGATCTCTTTGATATTTTGCTCCCCATGTTGAACATTTATCAAGAATTTGTGCGTAATCACCAGTACAGCCTCCAAGTGCTCGCCAATTGTAAGCAAAACAGAGACTTTGACAAACTCTTAAAACAGTATGAAGCCAACCCTGCCTGTGAGGGGAGGATGCTGGAGACATTCTTGACATATCCAATGTTTCAGGTAAGTCACCCAGGATGTGTCTTATAAGTCATTGACTCCAGCTCGATGCGACTGATACCCAGTGTGACCAGCATGAGATGTGCAAGTGTCCCCTGTGGGAGGTTGTGACACCTCCTCCGTCATCTTGAGCTTAACCCTGAGGTAAACAAATCTATGCCACGCATTCTCTCCAGTCTGTCTAGTGTTTGTAAGAAAATCAGGCATTTTTGAGACAATTAAATCAGGAGTGATTTTTTTTTTTTGTTTTGGAAATGCAGCACAAATTTCTCTCTGCAGAAAGATTCCTCACAGACCTCTTCCATGGAGTCTCCTCCTCCAGCGTGTTTAAAAATATTATTGGGTTTACAGAAATAGGCTGCCGTGCAAATGTTCCAGTGCGGGCTGGTTGCATAAAAGGTTCTGGGGCGGGGGGTGGGGTGGGGGTAGGAAGGACTGCTGGGAAGGTGTTTGTTTTCCTGCCCTGTTCTCATTGCTGCCGAGTCTCTCTTGGCTGGAGCTCTGCAGGGCACAAGGAGGACCTTCCCTGTCACAGAGGCTGTGGGGAAACGAAGGAGCCAGAGGCCTTGGCCAGGCCTGGGGACTCCTGGCCCCTAATCAGGTTGCTCCAGTGAACCTAGGGCTTGTCCCAACCTTCACTTTTGGGGGTTAGAGCAACCATAAAGATCAAGTACACTTGCATCCTTTCCTGTATCTAAGACTTCACCACTCTTTAGTGAGAGCTGCAGAAGCCAAAATGTGAATTGAATCTCCTGTCCTTTTAAAAAGTGTTGATTTTGTTCTTTTGGAAAAGCATTGAGTGTTCCCGTTGTGGAATTTGTGGGGCTTCAGTCCAGCCCTCCAAACTGTTATGTGGCAAACCGACTCTTCTAATCATGTGTGTTATGGTTTCTGTGGAGGGCTTTGTCCCTCCGAGTGGGTATCTCTGACCCCAGCTGATCATTTTGTAGCCTCCGAGAGAGAGGCTGCTCTGGTTCATAATTGTCTTAAAGTTTGTCACTCCTGCTTGAAATCCTGGAAGTCACTGCAGAAGTTTAGTAAGATTTTAAAAAACCAAAAGGATGCATGTGTAACAACTTAAGTATAGTGAAACTGTAATGCCGTTGTGTTTTTTCTTCACGATGGAACTGAATTGTTTAACTCTTTGCCTCTCTGAACAAATATTCCATAAGAGAAACTACAAAGAAAAAAATGCTTTTTAAAAACCTTATACAAAATTATAATTTGAAATTTTGTTTACAGTGAAACAAATTTTTATTCAATGTTCTGAGATTCTATTTGTATCTTTGGCAATTAGCTCTAGGTTATGATTAAATTCTCTAAATCCTGTCTGCCTAGGAACCCTCAACTCAGGTGTATAAACAAAGGTAGGGTTGTGAAAGATGCATGGAACATTCAGAGAGGAACCTCACTTCCTTCCTGAAAGCCTACGAATGCCTTTTCAAGTATTGTTTATTTCCCTTGGTGTGAGTCTCTCAGTGGTTTAAAATGGAAGAACTGTACTTGAATTTTAGGTCAGGTGTCCAAACAGTTGAATGTAGGGTCATGGAAAGGCCTTTGGATTTCTTAAAAATGATGAGATAGTCTTCTTCTAACCTTCTTTTCTCCCCCTGGAGTTTAAGCCCAATAACAACAACTTGGCATTTTGATTGATCCCAGGGAATGAATTCCCATAGTGTCCGGGTTGGGAATATTTGGGAGACCTGCATGTCCTGCTCTCCCTTCAGTCATAGCATTGGGAAACATAATTGAACCAATCTGAATTTCTGTTTCTTAAGTTTGAAATTGGGACAGTTGATCTCTATATATCTCCCAGAGCCCTACCTCTCTGGGGGACCAGACTAGAAATTTGAGCCGGCTAACTAACTAGCCTTCAGATCCCACCCTCCAGATCCTAGAATTAAGCTGAAGGGTCAGATGTTGAGATTGTCTGTTTTTTTTTAAGACTAGGGTAACCAGTGGGTGCTGAAAGAAGCCTCAAACTTAAAAGAATTTAGCCAGAATTGGTGCAGCTGCAAGAAATGTGCAAATTGAAAGAGCGCTGAATTCTGCTTTTATTTATTTGCTTCTCCAAAACTGTTTTCCTTCTCTGTAGCTATTTTGAACAGACCAAGAGCAGAAAACATTGGAGTTGCTGCCCAAACGCCTTGTTCTCCCTCCTGCCTTCTTCCTAGGGAGAGACCATGTAGAACACTTGAGGAAAAAGTGCCCTTTCTAGAATCTTGAAGGTTTTTCTTGCTAGGTTCATTCTGTACTTCTTGTTCCCTTTTGGTCCTTTCCCTGAGGTGTTTGCTCCCTCAGATGGTCTGCTTCCCCCTGCATACTTTGTATTAGCAGTGGTACTTCTGCACATCCACCTTGCTCCAATGTAAGCTGGACACCTTGGGATAAGACTGGGGTGTGATGCTTTTTTCCTTAGATCAAGAGTGGAAGAGGTGACCTTAGCTCATACTGCCAAGAGGCCACTACCAAGTCTAGATATGGAGGCAAAATTTGTTATCAGGGCCTAAGGAGGAAGAGAAGTAACTGGAAACTTTTAGCCTGTGTATATTTAGAGAAGTGTTATATTCCACCTCTTCTGGGCTGTTTTTTGAGTAAATCAGTTGCTACTGTGAGTGAATTATGCTGAACTATGGAAGCATGGCGGAGAAGGCAATGGCACCCCACTCCAGTACTCTTGCCTGGAAAATCCCATGGACTGCGGAGCCTGGTAGGCTGCAGTCCATGGGGTCGCTAAGAGTCGGGCACGACTGAGCGACTTCACTTTCACTTTTCACTTTCATGCATTGGCACCCCACTCCAGCGTTCTTGCCTGGAGAATCCCAGGGACAGAGGAGCCTGGTGGGCTGCCCTCTATGGGGTTGCATAGAGTCGGACACGACTGAAGCGACTTAGCAGCAGAAGCAGCATGGAAACATGGAGGAATTATAGTGAATTTATCCTTAATTGATGATGCAGTGAATTTATCCTCAATTGGACTATTAATATCAGACAAGTAAGTTTGTGTTATCAAGATATTTGTTATAGACAATACAGTAGTCATTAACTTAATTTTTATGTAGCAAAAACAGTGGTTTGGCTAGTACTGTTTAAATTGTCTTCAGCTGCTCCTGTATCCATAGATGAGCAAATCATGAAATCTGCTTCTGACAAGGACAGTGCTGTTAGAGGTCCTCCAGGAAGTAGCCACTTGCCGCTCTACTTACCTATTTAGTGTAACTAAAGAGCAAGGTAATTAGTGTCTAAAAGTGACAAGTATTATTTCATAATTGAAAGAATTATGATTCATATAGACAATACTTACTATGATCCTTGGGTCTTGTTTGGGGGGGTGTGTGTGCGCTCAGTCTTATCTGACTCTTTGCAATCCCACGGACTGTAGCACACTAGGTTCCTCTGTCCATGGAATTTTCCAGGCAAGAATACTGGAGTGGGTTGCCGTTTCCTACTCCAGGGGATCTTTCCGGCCCGACCCAGGTATTGAACCCTTGTCTTTTACATCTCCTATGTCTCCTGCATTTGCAGATGGATTTTTTTTTTTTTTTTTTTTTTTTACCACTGCACCACCTGGGAAGCTCCAAGGTCTTTTGGGGGACAGATTTATAATCAGTTCTTGAATATATCAGATGAGCTCTTTGGAGCACTGTCCATTTCTCTCTGAAGAAGTCCTTCGCCTGCTTTTTGGTAGTTTCAGGCTTATCTGTTTCTCTACCAGAAAGTGAGATGGGCCAGTTACTTTCAAATCCATCCACTTGACACTTAGCCAAAGAACTTTCTAAAACAGATTTAATGACCGGGGGAGGATCATGAAGCTATTGACTGAGCTTAGTTTTGTGGATTTTCAGAACATTATAAGCAGTCAGGCTCTCCCACTCCTGCCCTCCACTTGTTATGAGAAATTGAGTACCTTATCTGTTGATTGCCTTGATTTTCTTGTAGAACTACCAACTTAGAGGCAAACTTTTATCAGTCATGGCATTGTAAAAAAGGGATATTTGAAAGCATACTTATCCCAGCAGTCTTCACCAAGCGGAATGGCCCAACCAACTGTCTTAGTGAGAAGTTTATGGGGTAGAGGGGCACACAGCCTCCTCCCATGAGCTTCAGAGGAAGGGTTCTCTTGTGACCCATCCTCCTATAACTGAGGATACTTCACTTCCAAAACTCTGACTTGATGACAGTCTCTAGGACCTGACCCCAGAGTATGAACTGCTGATAGATGTCTATACTTAGGGCACTGCCCTCTGTACCCATGGGTAGTCTGGGTGGGTATGCTGTAAATATTAGCAAATGACCCACTGAAGGCAAGAGAGGAAAAGCAGATTTATAGATAGAGCTGCCAATGCCTCAGGTCAACATGGAAGGAGCTACCCACAGAGTCTTGGGAAGCTGCTTTACTTTCTTCATTCTTAGAGGTCCTTTCAAGGGCTGAGTAAGATCCCAGTCCCTGCAGAGACACCCACTAGACTAGTCCACAGATCAGAGCTGGGCTCATGGTTGGCTCTGCCATTTACTGTGAGGCCACTTTGGGCACTTTTCATGCCTTGTTTCCTTGTCCGTAAAGTGGGCAAATAATCCTTATGTTTTGTTGGAGGATTGGATGCAAACCTCAAACTCCCAATCTGACCCATAGCGGGCAGCGTTATGGTAGCTGTTGTTCATGTAGATTTTTATTAAAATTAAACCCACTGCCCCTGTTTTCTAACAATTTTTAGTTTATAAGCCAGTAAAAAAATATGTTGCGTTAAATCAACATGTTTAACTTGAGTTAAATCTTCACTGTGTTCTATTAAATCCTCCACAGGGTTGGTGGCATTTCTGACTTTGAGAGAATTCAGATAGATAGTCTGTTCATTAATAAAAGTACAAACAAATGATCTAATTAAACAATACTGCTTACTGCTAGAAGGATGAGTTGAGGTAAAGCAGGATCAGAATGTAATAAGGGTAAACATATCTTTTCCCACATTTTGATTCTTAAAGAGAACATTGCAATAGGATTGTCAATTAAAAAATTGTAAACAGACAAATAAATCTAAAATACAGACTCAAGTGACTTGCTGATAACTGTATCTTTTCCCCTATGAACCAGCTTTCAAAAATTATGATTGAGAAATGTATGATTATATTAAAAATCTAAAGAAACAGTTGTTTCTTTGTGCCTTATTATCTTCATGTGTTCTTGGTGAAGTTTTTGCATGTGTGAGGTTTGAAACATAGTTCATTTTAAATGTATTTCTTAAAAATATTTGCTTGTGGGGCTTCAAACAAATGTTTGAAGTCTAATATTCAAACTGAGTGGTCCAGTGGCTAAGACTCTGCACTCCCAATGCGGGGGGCCTGGGTTTATCCCTGGTCAGGGAACTAGATCCCACAGGTGCAGCTAAGACCCAGTACAGCCAAATAAATAACTGTTTTTAAAAATATATATTTGTAAAACAGTCAGACATGTCAGAGTAGAGATGAGCTCTTCAGAAGTGTGATGGCACAGTAGAGAAGGTCTAGTGTTACTCATCCAGCCCTCCTGCTCACGCTGGCCTTGATTTGCTTCTAGATCCCCAGGTATATCATCACGCTTCATGAACTCCTGGCTCATACACCCCATGAGCATGTGGAGAGGAAAAGTCTGGAGTTTGCCAAATCCAAACTAGAGGAACTGTCCAGGTATGTGAAGAATTTATAATGAAGACTTGTTATGGCAAAGTAGCATGTTAGTCTTTTGTGAAGACCTAATGTAGACTCTGGGAGTTGGTGATGGACAGGGTAGCCTGGCATGCTGTGGTCCATGGGATCTCGAAGAGTCGGACGCGACTGAACTGAACTGAATGTGTATATACACGGGAACAAGAAGCAAGACGTAAGCCGGCTTCTCAGATTCCCCTGAACATTAAATGCTAGCTTCTGAGATGGTGCTAAATCAGCATGCACATTAATTTTAACCAAGAAAAAAATTATATATATATAAAATTTATATAATAATTATATATATAAAATCTTTGAAAATGATTTTATCTCATTTAAGTTTATATAATTGAGATTAGACACATTTTGGCTTAAGTTTGAAAAGATTCACATTTCTTTCATTATAATAGGAAAATGGTTAGTTGCGTTTTTGTATTCATATTTGGTAAGAAGTTGGAGAATGTATATTTTCGATTGATCAGTGACTTTTCAGTGTTTCAGGCATTTCTTTACAGCTGTGTTCCTTTAACTTATAAGGGATAAATATAAATAATATATATAGTATAAAGGTCTCTAGTTTGCTCCACCTCTAAGAAACGGCATCCTAATTTCAATGAAAGAAGCTGTTTGTAAAATAATGTGTTGCTTTTCCTGTTGAATTTATAAGCAACATTCCCAGAATACTCCATTTGCTTTGCTTTGAGTCATGACTTGAAGGTTAGAAGTCCAGTGTGACTTACCCTACATCTCCAGTTAAACTGTTACAAGGTCAAACCCTTGCTTCCCAGATGGAGCTCTATTGCTCACCTACTGGGATAATAGAAGATCTCTCATTGTGGTCCTGTATGGTATTTGGCAGGGTCATGCATGACGAAGTGAGCGACACGGAAAACATAAGGAAGAACCTTGCCATAGAAAGAATGATCGTCGAGGGCTGTGATATCTTGTTGGACACCAGCCAGACTTTCATCCGCCAAGGTAAGTCCTTGCTCAGCAGACCCACCAGCTGAGGGGTCTCTGTACCTGTCACGTTATCACAGGCAGATCCAGGAAAGCATTGTGGAGCAGGCTTGATGTAGCTGTTTGATTGATGCTGTTCGTGCAGGACGTCCCCATGGCCTTGACCGAGGCTGTGGTTGAGGCCCACCTTTGTGCTGTTTCTTTTCAGGGGCCATGAAAAACAGCAACACAATAATAGTAAAGCACGAGTGGGACAGTAAGTTACACTCTGACTGGACCCTCCTGCTCACTGGACCGGACATTCTCTACAGCTCCAAGGAGGACAGATTGGTCTGGCCGATTGGAGTGGCAGTGCCAGGTGGTGACGACATCCAGGCAAAGGCCCAAGAGAAACTTGCCTTACTCAGAGCCCTTTCCCATAGGAGAGGGGACAATGTCCGCAGTGAAAACAGCTGTCTCTTGTTCCCCTTTTTCATCAGCACTTCCGGATCGGCCCCACATGATATGACTTGATTCAGTTGGTAACTCCAGTTGCTAGATGAAATGTCTCAACTTGCCCTGCCATACTTTGGCGATGGCCAAGGTATCATGTTTGAGGGGTGTGCTTTGGGGGCATCACCCAGTAAATTAAGCTTTTGAAGAGTGAAAGATATTTATGCTGGAAACTGTAGAGAAGCTACGCCATGACAGTGCATATTCCTCTGTGGTTCTTATTACGAAGTACATGAAGTAAACCACACTCGAAATTCCTTGCAAGTGCGTAGGGGTCCTGGGGGAGGGGAACATGCCCTCACAGAGTCGATTTCAGGCAGTATATTGCACACAGTCATAATTTTGAACTTGGGGAAGAGTGGCATATAAATTTGGAACTAGAATTAACCTTTAATGTGGTTTCTGTTTATAACGTGCCAATATTAATTGATGATAATTTCATTTCTAGTGCCTACCAAAATGTGCTGCCTGAAACATTTTTTTTTACCTCATCAAACAAGACATTATTTGTGCTGCACACGTTAATTTTTGCACAGAACACTTACAAAATTTAACGCATGTTCTATTTTCCATTATTTATTTACAAGGAGAGAAATCACACATATGTTAAAGTTTGGAAGTATATTTCAGGATATGATACCTTTCTCATTTTTGACTTGAAGTATTAATTTTCCTTTGAGTAATAGTGGACTATAATGCTGACAGCACCAGGCCTTCCTAATTCCCCCTCCAGTCCTCTTCACAGACTGTGTCCCCATATTGGCTTCCTGCCTTCCTGGCATTGTCTGCCTTCGCATCTTTACATGTGTAGGCCCCAGCCTGGGGACCAGGGATCCCCTCATCCATGTTTCTTGTGCCTGTGGAAGGTCCTCTTGTCCTGCCAGGCTCAGATCAGAGCCTTTTAAATTTCCTTTTAAAGAGCCTTTTAAATTTCCTCCTCATCTTCCGCTCTTCCCTCCAGTGCAGACGAGCTTACCTCCCTCCTCATTTCCAAGCCCACTTGCTCCTGGTGGCTGCATTTCGTCCTCTTGTACGTGTTTGCTTGCCTGTCTGTCCCAGTAATTGTAACTCTGAAGGGCAGTATTTATGAATTCTCTCTTGCCTAGTACAATGCTTTCCATTATAGATACCTGGAAAACGGACAATGGATTAAATTGAATTGCTTGTTGAACTGCAGTTTTGAATGTCAGCTGTCTTGTTTTGTATTTTTCTTATGTTTGGAGTCCACCGAAAAATACTTACTAAAGGACTTGAGCTTTGTAATATGTGAAAATGGAAACAAAAGTTTCTATAACTAGTATTCAGTTTCTGAAAGGACTTTGGATTGATGAGTATTATTATTACACGTAAACATTTAATATATTTCTAAGTTGGAAAAAGCATCTATGATGAAAAATGCTGGAAGGTTGAATCCAGTGAAGAAATCGTATTTTTTTTCCTTGCACCAGAAAAACCAATCATGCGCTACCTCTCCCTTTGATTCATGTCTAGATTTTATTTATTGCTTGTTCTGTACCACATGTTTGAGGCACTTTTGTCAGTTATTAATATATCTGATGTTATTGATGTATTGACATTGATATTAATGATTTGCCTTTCAGGAGTATTTTTCTGTGTTGTTTGGTTTGGTTAGTATGTTTGGGAATTACTCAATAAAGGTGGTTTAAAAAGAAATCAGACCTTAATCTGAAAGTAGAAAGTAATCCAGTTACAGTCAGTTTGGAAAGTTTGTGTTGTTTTGCTTTGGTTCCTACAATTATTACTTTTTTACTAGATGCTTTCAATGCATGAGTGCCAACATATATGCATAAATATGTGTGGTTTCAGTCTCAAAATGAATTTTAATTCTGAGGACTAGAAAAAATAAGGTCATCTGAAAGCTCGCCTCTGAATAGGGGTGATAGCCAATCTTGAATGTCAATCTGTGGGAATTTATTGATTGAAATAGCTTCTTTTATTATAAACTGATTCCAGTTACTAGATAGTTGATGAGTGTAATGCAAAGGACTGTGTCATAGCAGTGTTCTGACACTGTCATTTATTTTCAAAATCTTTTCAAAGTTTCTTGAGCAAATGTTGACGTGTTTGAGGCAATAATAGAAAGTATAGCTAGCTACATCATGGAGGTCAAATCCTGTCTCCTCCTGTTCCTTGCTGTGTGATATTGGGCAATTTAGTTAACTTCTCTTAGCCTCAGTTTCCTTTCTTTGCTGTGGTTTAGTCATATGTTGTGTCTAACTCTTTTGTGACCCCATGGACTGTGGCCCACCAGGCTTCTCTGTCCATGGGGTTTTCTAGGCAAGAATACTGCAGTGGGTTGCCATTTCCTTTTCCAGGGGATTTTCCTGGCCCAAGGATTGAACCCGCACATCCTGCATTGGCAGGCAGATTCTTTACCACTGAGCCACCAGGGAAGCCCCTTCCTCTTTTTAAGTGGGGTTAATAGTAGTACCTGTCTTTTAGGGTTGTTGTGAAAATAAAATGTTCATAAGAATGACTAGACTAGAGTCAGTGAGATTATGACATAAACTTTAAAAACCAAGATCTAAATTTTGGAATAAGTTTCCATTTTCAATAACATGAAATATATATGAATATTTATTAGAAGATAAAGGCACTGTAAGTTGACATTTTGTGCAGAGTCCATCATACATAGTCATCATTGTCTGGTAGAAAGGTGAATCAGGAAAAGTAAATAGAGTGACTGAATTTAAAGCTAAATGCATTGAGAATGAAACGTGAACCTTTCTGGTACTTTAATCATTCCCAGACTCAAAATCATATACTTTGAATGTACCAGTGTTCTTTGAAATTGTAACATGGGGTCTGGAAGTAATTATACCTATTCGAATGCCTAATCCAATAACCTGGAAATTGCTCTTCAGTCTTTTCAAACTACTGAATGGAATAAGAATAAGGGCATTAGCCAGTCTTGAATGTCACACCATGAGAATTTAGTGACTGAAAAACAAGTTTTTTTTATAAGTTGACCCCAGTTATTAGATAGACTGATGACGATGGTGATGCAAAGGATCATTAAGACTAAATGATTTCTCTTATTTGTAATAACTAGAAAGGAATCTTCAAGTCTTATAGTTGTGTTGAAACATCATGTCAAACATAAGATGAAATGTGAAAAAAACCCACTTAACATCTTTTTCAATATTATTTTATAAACCAGTGTTGAAATTGTTCACTTCTAATTCAGATGTACAGATTTCTGTGCATACCTAATGCGTATAGTCTCCTATTTGGATCTGAGATGAGCAGTTATAGATTAGGCATATTAGTGTATAGTTGCCAAGGAAACATTTGGTTTTTTACCTCAAAGCTAAAATTCACAATAATGACTAATACATGAGTTAACAGTATATTTTAAAATTTCCAACTTACAAAATCATTAAATACTAGAAGTATTTACCCATGAACACATTATTATTCAGTTTTCTTAGCCTCAGTTATATCCTTTCTGAAAACATCCCTCAAACCCACTTGTCCACCTGTCTCTGCTGCAGTCTTCCGCTCGGCCCTAACCCATCTGTCTGGATGACTCATGACCGCCCATGGCAAAGCTAGAACTTACTTTCTTTTCCCATCCATTCCCTTTCTGATTTTCAGTTTTTATGTTGCCGAATCCACCGCCATCTCCTGGCCAGGATAACCCAGGTCCTCTGAAAGATCTCTGGCTTTGATTCCACCAGTGGGTCTCATGAGTACAGTCCTTCTGCGGCTATTACTCCTCTAAGCATTCTGCCTTCTGCTTTTCATCTTTCCTTTATTCCTCATATCTGATTACTTGCTGCCTGTGCTCTCTGCCAGTTTGCTCCCACCTACCTCTCTTCCTTGTTGCCCATTCCTATCACTGGAACCAAGCCCTTTCCTGCCCCTGTTCCCCAGTCCCGCACCCTCCCCCAGGACTACCTCTGTGTTATTCTTTAGGCACCAAATAGATGATGCCTCTGCCTTTGTCAGGCAGCCCGCTTAAACACTCACCTGAATGGGTGGCATTCAGGGACCCATAGAAATTTGGGTTCTTTTCCTCCTGCACATCTTTAGATCTCTGTAAAGGTAGGTACTGTTTGGAATAGACATATGTTAATGTAAGTGTTTTGTGACCCGCAATCATAGATTTACTATTCCAAAAATACATTAAAAAAAAACAAATCAGGAAACCTAGGAAATGTATGAAGAGGAAAATAAAGTTGCTTACAGTCTCATCTCTTAGTGATGGCCAGTGTTCATAATTAAGTGATGAATATTCATTTAATAGTTCTTATGAGGCTGATAGGAGCCTTTGTAAAGCTGCATTTGGGATAGGTGGTGAATGACACAAATAGTAGAAATAGTACTGGCTCAGGGCATTTCAGAAGGCAAGGTAGTTGTAAGCATCTTTCTTAGTGTTTTTTGGTTTTGATATTTAAATTAGAATTTCCTTTTAAGAAGAGCAGGAGGTCATAATTAGAGTGAAATTATATAAAATCTATGCTTAGCTTCTTGAATGGAAGATAGTTTCCCACACAGGAGTGTTCTGCATATAGAATTTATGTGGTTTCTTTTCCATGTAGATTTCACAAAGAATTTTTATCACGTATAATTTAAATGTAACCTGAAATAACTGCCCTTTAAAAAGAGCCCTTCGCTAAATTGTGTTGAATTGCATAATCTGTTTATTTTTATAATGTACATTTAAAAATGTACATTATAAATGTACATCATGTTTTTAAATACAAAGTAGGCTATATTAATGCTATTTATCTACCTTCATTGCTTTAGGAAAAACAAATTTGACTTGCTTTTTATTATGTTGTTTTATTACTATATGTAATTATACAATATGTACCCTATTCTTATGTAAATAAATTGATAAAGATCAGATTATGAAGGACAGATGGCAGAAGTGTCTCATGCTTTGAATTCAGTATGGCTTTGTTTTAAACTTATTTTCCAGCTTATATATAAATAATCAAATCTAAAGTATTCTACAGAAATAGTAGGAATTGGTGTGACTCTTAAAGCATAGCAATACATTGTTTCTTCTGCTCAAAGTGCAGGGGATTTGCTTGTTCCGATGGTGCATCAAATAATCCCTTGGTATCTTGGGAAACAGGCCCTACTGTTTTTGCATCAGGAACTACTCTCACTTGACAGAATTTTAATTGCTGTGTGTTCTTCACTTTTGTGATCACCAGGTTCTCTTATTCAAGTACCTTCCGTTGAGAGAGGGAAACTTAGTAAAGTTCGCCTGGGTTCATTGTCTTTGAAAAAGGAAGGAGAAAGACAGTGCTTCTTGTTTACAAAACACTTTTTAATTTGTACAAGAAGTTCAGGAGGAAAGCTGCATCTGCTCAAGGTACTGGTTTTACATGACTATTCCATTTATGTTCCGTGCACTTGAGAGGCATTGAGGTTAATTTAATTATGACTTTCCCATGCCTGCTTTCATAAAATAGATTATTACAATATCATGGTGAGGTAATACACAGTTGCCAACCTTGACATTTACTTTGTTGTCAGTTAAATCCAAAGTAATAGAAATTTAAGTGCAATTGCCATAAAGAAGGGCAATTAAAATCATAACCTGGACAAAATTACTAGTTGTTGACTGAGCTCAAAAATCTTGTCAGATGACTGCAGTGTACTGATTGTGTAATATTCGCTAAATGCTATTTTATCTTACTCAGTACCAAGAGTGAGAAAACTACTGCCCACAGCTTGCTGCTTCTTTTTAATAATAAAGTTTTATTGGAACGCAGCCACAACTCATTTCCTTTCTCATTGTACCTGGCTGTTTTCATGCTTTTTAAAATGGCAAATTTAAGCGGTGGCGATAGAGATCATATGGCTTGCAAAGCCTAAAGGATTTACTAGCCAGCCCTTTACAGAAAAAGTTTGCCTATCTGTACCTTCTGTTATTAATGCCTGAAAATATTATCCAGCATCACGACAACAGAGTTCTACTGCTTAAGTCACTTACTGGTTGTAGAGCTCTACCCTTTACTGAGCTGCATTCACTCTGTGGGGCCTCTGAGGTTCCATATAATCTCTCATAGACCAACTCGTTAAATTTTACAGACATTGGGAGTGAGAGTCAAATGGTGGGGAAGAATCATGAAGCTCAATGAATTCAATTACTTTTACACATTTAAATTTAATTTTGAGCTCTATGAAAAATTAGTTTCAAAATGGAATTGCTGTTTCTTCTGTGGCAGTTTGAATATAAGGTTTACAAATCACAGCTTCCCAACCTATGCAAGACTCTTAGCCTCTAAATGAAAAATTGGTCTGTTTCCAGACAGGTGGAGTTCTGTCTCTAATAGAATGTACCTTGGTCGAGGAGCCTGATGCGAGCGATGATGACTGTAAGTCACATTCTATCACTTAGAATTATATTAGCATTAAATAGTCCTTTGGTTTTTATTTGTTGATAGCTAAGAAGAGCTGCTTCAGGAGACAGGGAAGATATTAAGAATAAGTTCCCTGAATTCATTTATATATGAAAAATTCTGTTGAACCATTTAACCTGTAACCCCAGTTAAGCCATCTTTGGAAACTTGCATTTTACTGAATTTGTCTCGTGATAGTGTTTTTTGCAGCGGCAGAGAAGAAAGTAATTGAATTAGAATGTTGGAATTCTGTAATTTATGGAAAATTTTTAAAAAGCCATGAATTGACAAGGAGAACAGGACCGTAGTCTTGAGTAACCCACTGATCTTAGCTTTTTCATCTGCTTATGAGCTTAACAAAGCTGTCCCCGTGCTTGAGGAAGTACTGTATCACTAAAGGGAGATTCTGGACTTAAACGCACGTTGGTTGTATTACTAGGACCTTGAGAAAGCAGTTATCACTCATGTTTTTGTATTCACATCTAATTGTTTGGTTTACGTGTGTTGAAGCCAAAGGTTCTGGCCAAGTGTTTGGACACTTGGATTTCAAAATAGTGGTGGAGCCTCCTGATGGTGCCCCCTTCACTGTGGTCTTGTTAGCACCTTCCCGCCAGGAGAAAGCTGCCTGGACAAGTGACATCAGTCAGGTAAGCAAGTGACTTTGGCCCCAAGTTGGTTTTTGTGTTTTAAATTTCACAGCATAAGCTTTTGGGATGCAGTTTTAGAGTCAGTTTATTTTTATTAGAAAATTGTATCTGGTTGCTGTGGTTATTGTCTTCATGTATTGAATCATTTGTTGCTGTTTGTTTGTTTGTTTAAAATTTACCTAAATGTTGTCATTGTATTTTGCATCCTGGGCATTTTTGTACAAGCCAATATACACTTGTGTTGGACAGTGGTTTTGTTTGGAGAGTGTTAAAATTGCCCCGTGAGTAGTAAATTCTCCAGTGACCTCATTAGATTTTTTTTTTTTTTTGCTTATTTGTTGCTGAGATAGGAAAATGGTGAGAGATGTAAAAATAGCTAACAAGGACTGTGAAATCGAATGAAAAAAGAGATAGTGTCTGTAGTATGAGGCCTGAAAGTGAGTTCCTGTATTTTATATAGAAAAAGTTAGGAAACAGATTTGCTTACCTTTCCTTGATCAACACTTCCTGCTTAGGAAATTGCTACATTTGTTCAGGATTTGAAAAAAAAGTCAAAACTAGTGATGATTGGACTTGGGCATTCTTCAAGCCCAGCTCCACATTAATTTTGGCTCCATTAACCAATCTGGGTGAAAAGGGAAGCTGTGAAGGAAAATATTAAAGCTTAATGATCTTCAGAGTTGTTGACTAAAGGATGATTGGGGCAAACAGGAAAGGCATATGCTATAGATCCCATTGTCTTCCTTTTCTGAAGAGCTCTTAGTAATTTATATATACCTTAGATATAAATATGAACTATAAATATATCATAGTTTTTCAGATACTTAATTTTTTTAAACAATTTTTTAATATTTTTTTTAATTTTTGGCCTTGCTGTGAGCCATGCAGGATCTTAGGTCCCCAACCAAGGACTGAACCTGTGCCCTCTACATTGGGTGGGCAGAGTCTTAACCACTGGACCCCAGGAAAACCCCTTAATTTTTTTCTAAGTGACTGAAAAGCAAAAATAGAAAGAAAATGAATGTGTAAGTTAATTACATGTCAAAGACGTTTTACCAGACTTAAACCTCATTTGTCCTTTACTATAATATTCTGAAGGTGAACAGAAGCAGTAGTACCATTTCACAGGTACGAAAACTGAGATTCAGAAGGTTAATAGGCATTTGTTTGAAGCTGCACAACTGTGCTGGGTCATGACTCAAACCTAATCCAGGTCTTTTATTACCACTCTAAGTATCCTCTACTGGAATTCCGGATTTTTACTGCTTTTCTTCCAGGACTGTTTTGATGATGAATAAATAGCTGAAGTCAAGGTGCTTCTTTTCTGGTTAACAAAGAAACAAAAATATGGGATCATGTATATTTGCATAATTACCCATTTATGGTGATTTACTAATACTTTCATTAGCTCTAAGCTGTATGAATTAATATTGTAATTAAGTCTGTGGAATGCATCTTTTACCTTCAGAAACTCTGAATCAGTCATTGATTCTGTGAACGTTATCTGAGCAATCACCCTGTGCTGCCAGGCATTGTGTGGGTACCATGGTTTGGCAACGATCCCTCCTCTCAAGGAGATAGACAGATTAGTAGAGAAGAAAGGGAAGTAGACAACTTAATGCAACAAAATTGTGTATGTGTTGTGAAGCCAAGATAAGTAGGAAGAATGGGGAGAATTAGAGTTGTAGACAAAGATGTTTTCCCAGCTTCTTATAGTTTCTACCTTATGACAGAACTGGGGTGCCTAAGATTCAGAGCTGATAAAAACTTCAAGTAATCTTAGGGTGAGGCATCGCTAAGAGAGAAAAGACCCCTGATGTGTATGAATGATTCTGTGCCCGGTCCTTTAAAGAAAAGATCTAATATTTTGCCTCCCAGAAGCATTCAAGTGATTCTCTCTACTTAGACTACATTTTAGCAGGAAATGGCAACCCACTCCAGTATTCCTACCTGAAGAATTCCATGGTCAGAGTAACCTGGCAGACTATAGTCCATGGGATAGCCAAGAGTTGGACGCGACTGAATACGCATGTAGACTACATCTTGAGTTAGGTGTACAATTTCTTCCTATTTCTCCAAGTTTCTATGGCTAATATACTAGTGTATTAGATTATATGTACAACTGAATTGGAGAAGGAAACAACAGGAATTTGTGTCTTTCTGAGTGACAGTGATATCATGATATGAAATTACTGTGTTCGGTAGAACCTTAATATCATGTGGTTTTTGATACTTAACATTTCAGCCATTCAACAAATATATTTATGCAGTGATAACATATGCCAGGCACTATCTCGGTGCGTGTGATATATCGTGGACAACAACAACAAAAATTCCCTGACCTTGTGTAGCTTACAGTCTAGTGTGGGGAAACTGAAAACAATGTAAAGATAATAAATAGATAACATTTTACGTTAGAAGGTGATAGGGCAGGTTGAGAAGGATTGGGCTACTGGAGGTAGGTGTGGGTCACTACAATTTTGAAAAGGTGATCATCTCATTTTGAAGACAACATGTAAACAAAGACTGTGGCGAGTGATGGAAATACCATGTAGATATGTAACAAAGGCAAAGTCATTCCACACGGAGGGAGCAGGCACTGCAAGCTCCCTAGAGTAGGAGACAGTATATTTTGAGCAATAGCATGAAGGTTAGATGTGGCTGAAGGGGAATGTTGAGAGGGAAAGTAGAAAAGGGGGAAGTAATTTCAATGAAATTGTTAAGTAAGCAGTGGGGTATGGACGCTCAGTGCTTGGAGGGAGGTCCATGTGTGAGACTGTCTGCCATTTAGATGATATTTAAGGCCACGAGACTGTTGAGATCACCCAGGGAGTCAGTATAGATAGAAATGAGGAGAAGCCCATGGAGTGAGTGAGGAGTCGCAGAGAACAGCAGAGAAGAGAAGGAACCAGGAGTGCAATTGGAGGATAGCCAAGAGGGTGCAGTGTCTTGCAAGTCAAATGAAGAAAATGTATCGAAGAGGAGGGAGTGGTTATGAGTCAACTGCTTCTAAAAGAAGCTATGGTACATATATAAAGTTGAATATTACTCAGCCATAAAAAGGAATGAAATTGGGTCATTGGTAGAGATATGGAGGGATCTAGAGTCTATCAAACAGAGTGAAGTAAGTCAGAAAGAGAAAAACAAACATCATATATTAATGCACATGAGTGGAATCTAGAAAAATGGTACAGATGAACCTACTTACAGGGCGGGAATAGAGACGTGAACATAGAGACCAGACAGGTGGACACGGTGAGGGGAGTGTGAGATGAACCGGGAGGTTAAGTGTGACAGAGGTACACTACTGTGTGTAAAATAGATAGCTACTGGGAACGTGCGGTGTAGAATACGGAACTCAGCTCCGCACTGTGATGCCCCAGGGGCCTGGCGTGTGGGGGAGGGACAGAGGCTCAAGAGGGAGAAAACTTCTGTGTACATACAGCTGATTCACTTTGCTGGACAGCAGAAACCAGCACAACATTGTAAAGCGATTACACTCTAGTTTAAAAAAAAATGTTGAGCCCAGTAGTGAGTGTTCTGAGACACTTAGTGATTTTCCTGACGCAGGGTTTGAATGGTGGGTGGTGGGGACAGAGTGCTCCCCTAGTAATTGAGCCTAGTTTACTGCCCAGCAGCCTGCATCTCAGCTGGGCTTTGTTCTCCACTTAAAACATTTTCATTTTATGAGGGAAACTGTGTGCTATACATACATTGATGAAATTTGTCATTCTCCCAAACATGCCTCTGGGCATATTCATTATTGATAAGATGAGCCTACAGAATGCTTGAAATGTACCTTTTAATATTTTATGATGTATATGTAAAAATATGGATACAAAAAGGAACCAGAAATACTCCCAACACCCAGATCACTAAATAAATGTTTATCAAAGTGTCTTTCACAGATAATTACCTGAAGGGTTTTTTTTTTTTTAATGCAGACTCCTGAACCCACATTCCAGATACCCCCTCAGGTATAACAGGCTCCACTGATCACTTTTGCACAATTACATTTGAGAAACTGTGTTCTGAAAATCAAATATTTTCATCTCTGAAACCTTCACAATCCTGCCATACAAAAATACTTCAACAGTTTGCCTCTAGGTGCATATATGCATCATTTTTTCCTTTTTCATCTTCGTATATTCCTATGAGTTCTTTGTATCAGAGTCTTCTAATACATGTTTATTCTACCGTGTTAACTTAGACTTCCCTGATGACTCAGCGGGTAAAGAATCTGCTTACCAATGCAGAAGATTCGGGTTCGGTCCCTGGGTCAGGAAGATCCCCTGCAGAAGGAAACAGCAATCTACTCCAGTATTCTTGGCTAGCAAATCCCATGGACAGAATCTGGTGGGCTGCAGCCCATGGGGTCCCAAAGAGTCCACCATGACTGAGTAACTAATCACGCATCATGTTAACTTACCACTTTTCTAGCTCTTTCTGAATAATCAGGCATATGGGCAATTTCCAAATTTCAGCACTAATATATGATGGGGTGGTGCTAGCCATCTTTGCACCAAGAGTTACTCCTCCTTTCAAGGCCCCTTGTTGGTGTATCTTACCCGCAGGTACAGGGCTGGTGAAGGGGGCCTGATCACTTTCAAGATTTCATGATTCATGACTCGACAGACTGCCGAAACACCCCCCAAAATATGTAACTCATCTCTTTTAAGTCCTGCCAGTGCTGAATTTTGTCATGTTTGTCACATTATTCCTTCCTAGTGGTTTTAATTACTTCTGCAATTATCAGTGAGACTAACATTTCCCACCATATCTATTTCTTGTCATTATACCAGATGGACATTTATTTGTTGGGGCTATGCTTGTAGATATCCTTTCCTGTCCTAGGGAAATGAACATTTTTTTAGTCTAAATGAATATATTCTTCATGATCTTGTCCTTAATTTTGTCATTTTTTTGTTTTGCATAATTTAAATTTTTTCTGGCTTAATTTGACTTCACCTTGCTAAACCATTGTACCATGTTATACTAAT